ATCCTGATGTGCTATGCAAGTTCTGACGGCATCGTTCAAGCGCGAAAAATCTATGGAATATTTACTATGATATTTCGGAGAAAATTTAAGTGTTTAATTTGAACAACATTTAGAAATCTTTTCTGAAACTTGACTTTAAAATAGAATAATTATTAATTTAAAGTATTTAAACTATAATTTTAAACTAAAATTGTAGTTTACCTTGATAATATTAATTATATTGTAATTAATATTACAATATTAATTATATTGTAATTTAAAATCAAATCACTGAAGTATCTCCCTTGAATAAAGACTTTTATAATTAATAAATAATCGATTTTATTTAACTTTTCCCTTAATAGATGTTTACAGTTCCATTCTCTTTTATTACCAATTAAACGCAAGCAAAAGTAAAATATGTCCAAATAATATATCCCGAAAAAGGCATTTATTTTAAATATTATCCTCGCGTTAAATTTCTATAGAATAATAGGCAGGAAAGTTTAAAATTATTAATTAATAATAGTAATACGAATATATAACGACATAATTGGTGAGAGCACAATTGCAGTTTCGCCATTCAAAAGCTCAATTTATTCGTTTATGATTATCGGAAGAATGATGAAGCAATTCATTTGGCGTCACTGCGGAGCAGATTATGCCAATTTCTCACCAATATCCATTGACGTTGCGGATAAAGCAACTATATGGAATTCCGCCACGCGAAATTGACCGTCACGATGTTATTGACCACCACTAATTCACCGACCGTCAACATGCTGCTAAAACACATCGTGGCTCGCGGAAACGGTCGCGAAAGTGATGGCCGGATCGGGGTGGTCACTGGGTGGCGCAAATTACTGCAACCGGGTGGAACATGTCTCCTCCATTCGACACTGGGATATAATCCGTTTTGATCCGTGAATGCCTTTCAGTACATCGCGATGAGCGCGGATGAGTTAGGCCAGCTGGAAAGTTTTGACGCGATTCGCGAAGCGTTATCGATCCACTGCCGACCGACAATTCGGTCAACACTTTCGCCATGTCGCGTCGACAACCACGTAATCTTTCTGTCGACCGTCTTTCGGCATGCAAGTCATAATTCCAGACCAACAGGATATCCATCGGGTGTCGCGTCGTTGTCGATCCTTTTTTTTTCTCCTTTTTTTTTCATGACGCGACCTCAAGTGTCGAAATCACCGAAGCGCTGCCGCAACATTCGCGCGACAGAGCATTGAGAATCATCCCCCGTGCAAAACCTTTTGGTATCTATGCAAAATAAAACTTCGGTTTTCCGATACGTTTCATCCGTTTTCATTTCTGTTACATTTTGCAGCGTATCGTTGATTACATCACTCTTCAACTGTAGCTCAATGTCAAAGGCGAGTCAGGAGATGTAGTACGCTTCGGTGGTATCTCTACAAAAATGCTGAGAATGATCTCTCTCTTCTACGTCCCTGTCATAACCATGCATTTTATGTATTCCAGCCTCGCTGTTTTACGATATACATCTATATGATTATATATAAGCGTTTGTTCATTGGTATTAGATCGAAAATTTATCTCGAGTGCTCGCGTGACAACTCTAAAAATGATCCTTTACGGAGTACTTTTATGACAGCTACATGAAGTTCGGCCTATGCAGGATATATTTCATTCGTCTGCTTCCGACACGTTTTGCAAAATTGCTTATTACATTTTTGTAATGATCCATTCTCAAATATCAGGAAATAGAAGTAACGTATTACCGTTAGTCACTAGTTACTTTTTTTATAACGGACTCGTACCGTCGTTAATTTTTTTTAACAAGTGTAACGTAGTTACATCTCTTTGGTAACAGTAACGAATTTTACAGTTACTTATTATTAGGGTTAGGTAGTAACTAGTTAAAACGTTAACAGTTAAAAAAATAGTTAAAAAATTAACAACTTTTAACTTAACTTAGTTTATTTTAAATGCATTAATTTTTAACTTAATTTAGTTACTTTTAAACTTTAATTTGTTAACTTTTTTTAAATTAACAATTTTTCTACCTCTCTTATACTAATTTTTATTTTTCTATAAAGTCTTAAACATTAGAAAATTAATTTAGAAAAAATTCAATGATTTTATGATGAGAGACTCTATAATAAGAGTCACATACCATACGATAGCTAGTTTTTATTGACTCGCTAAGTTTTGTCAATTCCCGCTTATATTTGAATCATACTAATTTTAGGTATCATAAATATTGTATTTCAGCAACATAAATATGAAATGAGCCTTAGATGAAGAATTGTTGTAGAACAGTACTGCACATCCACCCATTTTCTAAATTTTTACGTTTATCTTTATAATAAATATCTAGTCGATGTAGTCGTAAACATGCATGAGCAGTCGTTTTAGAAGTTAAAAAAAGTTAGATAAAAGTTAAAGAAAGAGAAATAATGCAAACATATACCCTTCTCTCTTGTAAGATTTTACAAAAACGCTTTATAGTATGACTCTTATTATATATAAGTAATTAACATGTGAATATAAAATTAAATTTACCTAATAATTTATATCTGTAAGTGTTATTTAAAGTAATCTCATTATAAGAAAAATTAGGAAATTTTGATCTCAAAAATAATTCTTTTTTAAATTAACTTTTTTTTTAACTTAAGTTAATTCAATTTTAACTTAACTTTTACTAATTGTAAGTTAATTCTTTATTCCTTCAAATTTTAACTTAATTTTAATAATTTTATAAGCCATTAACTTTAACTTAATTTAGTGTTTTAAAAAAACATTAACTTACCCAACCCTGTTTATTATATTTTACATGTTCATAACATGATTTTTTATATATTCAATCTTTAACCTTTGGCTGGTATTCATAATTTATTCTTACGTCAAGACCGTTTTAATTAAGTAATGTCTTAAGATGCTAATACGGCTTTATAATTGGCTTATAGATAATAAGATCGGCGGATTTTCTTTTAGAATGAAATTTCGCTCTTTTGAAATGAGATTCACTTTAAAAAAGTGAAATTTTACTTCAAAAGAAAATCTGATACTCTTATTTAAGAGTACAAATACTTTCACTCTTTTTGATGAATAATGATGGAATTTTTATTCTTTTGGAGATTTTACTCCAAAAAATTCAGAGAGTATAAAAAATACTAAAAAATTAAAAGTTATATAATCTTTCTTTTGGAAACAATTTTTCCTGCTAAATACCGATTCATTGATACAAACATTTGTACACACAGAAACATTGTTGTAAAAATGCTAAAACTGATAATTTTTATACGGTGTAGTAATAGTAATAAAATGTTGACATATCTATACATTTTTTATTCATTTATCATTTTTGCTTATATATTCGTCACTTTTTCTTTACATAATAATTTAATGATAAATAACAAGCATTTTCATTTATTCTTGTTAATATTATTACTGTTTAATTATAATTGAAATTTTTATGTTATTTAGAAGGAATTCAACATTCAAAAGATTTAGATATTTAATATATAATTATAGTAATTCGTAAAAAAAAAAATAGAAACAAGAGAAAATAAAAAGATATAATCTCATATTTCAAAAGGTAGAATCGTATATTATAATAACAAAAAATTATTATTACTATTACATTTTTACTAAACCCGAAAAAGTAGAGAAATCCGGCTGCAGAACGAATTCATCGGAAATGCTAGAACTCAAAAATTCAAGAGCAGCGATCCAAGAATATAATAAACGTCCTGTCGAAATGTCCGACTGCATCGTGAGCATTTTGAATTAACGATATTGGGGGCGGAAATTCGTATTTCGAGTAAGGAGAGATAGCTGGCCTCAGCGGGTCTCACGGTAAGCGGGTTTTATTTATGGCGGAAGATGTATCTTTCGTTGTCACTCGACGTTTTGGAAATGCGGTCGAGCCAATTACTGAGATTTCGCTTAACGTCGACGGTGGTGCGCGCACGCAAAAAGAGGAGGCGATACCCGCATTCAGTCGGCCAACGCCATTTGTAAAATATCCGCGTCGGGGGCTGCTATACGGTTCGCCACCGATGGAACATGAAGTGAATTACGCTGGTACTTAATTCACGTAGAAACTATCCGTAAACGAGAAATCAAATCGCGATTCCAGATCTATATGGTCCAATTGAAAAGGAGACAAACTTTCTCATCGATTCTTCTTCCCCAAATGAAGAACTGACGTACTTTCGAATCACCGCCACGGTGTTCGGCAAAGATTAAGGCTCGTCTTCAGAACGCGCTTTTATCGATAAATGCGCGCTTTTGTGTTTGAAATTCTATAGTAACGTGAACTATATGCTAAATACGCGCTAACGTCGTAAAAGCATGTTCTGAATACAGATCTAAATATCTCTGAGGGTCTCACGTGAAGTAAGAAATCGAAATGCGATTCGGTATTTTTCTTTCCTTTTTTTCTTTCTTTCTCTCACTATCGAAATAGAGCTTAACAGAACGCGGGGCGCTATTAAATTTAAAGCTTTCACGCGGTGCGTAAGCCGTCGCCGCGGCAATTTTCAAGGATTTCACGCTATATTCTCCTCACGTAATCTTCTTTCATCGCAAGTACGACGCAACCTTCGCCGTCGCGATTCTAAAAACGTCACCTCTATAACCTGGCAGTTAAAAATCTTTTCGTGCATTTTTCGTATCCAGCCCAGTGATATATCTAGTTTCTCGCCGCCGACACACAATTTTCTTTGTTTTGCGACGGATTGCATAAGACAAATGCTCCTAAGTTTTTATTGCCACGTCAGTTTCTCATACTTTTTACGGAAGACAATAAAACTAACAAATATTTGTCGTTCTGTAAGTAATGATTTATTTACAGACAAATTCACCACGCGCTTTGAAGTAACTGAAACATATCGTGAAAATGATGTTTGCTTGATTAAACGTAGCGACAGGAATTTTTGTACGCGACGTTTTAACGGGAACATTTACACTCTCTTTGCTGAGAACCGCTTTTTCCAAAAGGATCAATATTGGATCGCGGTTCATGTCTGCTGGAAAAGACTGCGTTAGTCTAGTGGAATGTATATGATCTTCGCGACCAACGTACCATCCATGGTATGTCGACGCGCATCGACGTTATCTCGTTGCATTGTTACGCGAAACCATAATTCTAACATTTCATTAGTGATGTACGAGTACGGAACATTGTTACATTCCGTATGCCGGTTCAATGTACCGATCTATAGACGGCGTGAATTTTATGCATGTCCGACATTTTATAGATGGCTCATACATTCGAAACACCGAGGATAAATCTTTTGTTTTGTATGTGTATTTGTGTGTGTGTGTGTGTGTGTGTGTGTGTGTAAGAATGCGTAATAAATAAAAGTTCTTCGGCTAGTCGAAGGATTTATTTACCGCAAGGCCTTATTGGCTTACGAATCAATTCAATTCGAGTCTTCCCGCGGTCGGAAGTTATTATAAAGTGATATTAATGATGCCAGAATTAATCTTCTTAGAAAAATTTCATTGAACAAATACTGTTAAGTAATTATTCTTAATAGAATTCCATATTACCTGCACGAAGGTGAATATCTCGCTATTACGCAATTGTGCACGGAGAAAATTTTATATTTAAAATTACTATAATGTGGTAGTAGCTGCGGACATCATGTAAATTATAAGTTTAAATGCTATAGTTATTTTTTTAAAAACAATAACGTAATTTTTACACTTTTTCGTAGTAAAAACTTTTTATTAAAATCACAACTTGTTTAAAAGTTAGTATGTAAAGATAAGTAAAAAATATATATACCTAGCAAATTTTGTTTGCGTACCATAGTAAAAATTAACAGTTTTCATGTTATTGAATATGGCTTAAGCACTGGTTTAACAAAATAATTACTTTATTTATTATAATTATGTGATAAAAATTAGTATTACCACAGTAAAAGTTATGTCGGAATCATGTTGTGACGGTCCATCGGAAATACTAGACATAGTAAAGTATAATTTAAAATTGTATTAAAACTTGATAAATTTTCTCTGTGTGTAATTAACTTTCCATCGGCAATGTGTAATTTTGACCATACGGTCAAATTTTTTTATTGTAAATTCTGACTAAATTAAAAAAATAAATTTAAATCTGTAAAAAAATAAATAAAATATAATCTAATTTCTAGTGTAAACTTGTTGAACTTTTTAGAAGTAAGCAAGAATTTTTTTCAGATTTATGGTCCGCAGTTATATAAAAATCTGCACTAAAAATTCAAAGACCCAGATTCCAGATTGCAAAGGATAAAAGTTTCACCATTGCTGATGGAGAATTAATTGCATTACAGCGTTTTAAGTGCATACAGTGTTTTAAAACTTTGAAAAAATGTAAAACTAAATAATAGATGAAGTATATATATATATATATATATATATATCTTCGCGCAAACATTAATTCGTACATAAAACAATCAAAGTTTGATTATGAAAAATTTATATATTTTATATATAATCGCACAGCATATTAATCATAAATATGAAAAGTTACGAAAATCTGAAGAACGCAAGTGTGCCCGCGAAATGGAAGTTTATCGAAAGCAACGAAAATTGGTTAGGAAGATGTCGAGGAAAGAGGATATCGACTTTGGTGCAAATCCCATGTGGACACGATAAGCAAATCTTCTTCAAAGGGAAGTACGTGACACATGCAAGCGCATTTATTACTCTTTTGGAAAGTCTAATTTGAAGGGCGGTGCCGACCGAGCTAGAGACACGGATCGATTCGAAGGGATAGCGGTTGCAAGAAACGGTTCCTTTGCATTTTACGCGAGGAGCGTAAAATTTTACGGCGATCATGATCGTGCTACGACTACGATAATTATCATTTGAGTAGTTCAATATTATACTTTGCTTTCTGAACTACTAAAATTGTAAAATAAATTAATTTAAAAAATCAATTCTAATTACTTATTTACGTATACATATAAAAGATTGTTTAATTATACGAGCGTAATTCTTTAATTCCATAACAATTTCTGCGAAAAACGACAAGATATTTTAATCTTACACTTTTAGATACAAATTAAAAAATTACATTTTAGCAATATATATAGGGATGTTTGATAAGTAACGATAAATCTCTCGCATAGGTGTAAAACGGACTAAAGTGAGTCGAAAAGTTAGTTTCTCTGCCATTTTGCAATTTTCGCAATAATTAACAAGATATCAATTACTATAAAATTCATCAAATATTAATTTTCAATAATTTTTTTACCCGAGTACTATCAAATTTACTGAAAAATAGCAAGAGATAAAAATTATTTTTATTAAATTAAAACTAAAACAAAGGCTGCGACCCAAGCTTAATGCTAGATTAACTACAATAGTATAAGTATATTAACAAATATTTCGACCCCTATTGGGTCATTGTCAATATTTAAATTACAATTTGAAATGTAATAAAATATAAATTTAACATCGTGTATCTATAATGAAATTTTACATACACAATGTTGAATTTATATTTTATTACATTTACCGTCTAAATCATCATATGTATTAGCAAGTGATTGTTTTTCAAATGAGTCGTTGAGTTCAAATTGTAATTTAAACATTGAGAATGACCCCCAATAGGGGTCGAAACGTTTGTTAATAAACTTATTGTAGTTAATTTAGCATTAAGATCCAGCTTGGCTCGTAGCCCTTGTTTTAGCTTTAATTTTATAAATTATTTGAGCCTATTTTCTGTTACTATGTTTATTCTATTCTCATAGAGCTCTAAGAATTTTTTTAGAATTTTTTATCAACTTTTTAGTACTGCATTTTCTTATATTAGCAACTATTTTTATCAACATGAGAAAATGCGGTACTAAAAAATTCTGAAAAAATTCTCAGAGCTCTCATGAGAAGAAAATAAACAATTTTTGTCACTTGCTATTTTTCTGTAAAGTTGATAGTACTGGAGTAAAAAATTATCGAAAATCAATATTCGGCGATTTTTAGTAATTAATATCTTGTTAACTATTATGAAAATCGTAAAATGGTAGAGGATTTTTCGACTCAGTTTAGTCCGCTCTATCCCTATGCGAGAGTTTTATTATTACTTATCAAACACCCTGTATATTATATTATTAATATATATGTTTATATATACACATACTATTATATTATAGATAAAATAACTGTTGTAATGGAACATAAGAACAGAGTTGCGATTTCTTCCGTTGCACTCTGTGATACCAATAACAATTTTCTTAATGTCGCAATTTCTTACATCGCTATTGCCATTAATTGTTACAAGGAGCAATTCTACTAAAACAATCGAGAAAAATTGCGAAAGCAGCGAAAGCAGTCGAGTCAGAAAAGAAATTATAAACGAAATGTAGCCGAGTTTGTGTGAAAAATAGACGATGGAGTACATCTTAAGAGACTGTATCTTTCAACTGTTAAAACAAAAGTCCAAACTCCTCGATTTCTTGCAGCAGCAACAGCAGTAGATATGTAACGCATATTAGCCTAGTTTACGAGTTATACTAGCGTTCACGTTCTCATTTTGCAGTCGCAACAGAATTGTAGTCACGTGCATTACATTTATCATCTGGCATATACGATTTGCCGCGTGCTTCGACATAACAACAAGAAGCAATTAAAGAGATTAGAGTTGAGTGGAGAGTAGGTATTAGTGCTCTAGAACACTAGCATCAGCGAGGAGGATGGGGTTAATTGCGTGTCCTCTAAAATCTAAGCGATTCGAAGACAAAGCAGCGAGTCGTGCGCGATGATCGGATATTCAAACGGGGATCATTGCCTGATAACGCGCGTTTCCAACGGATTGGTTCTTAAAGCGAGAGAGATTGCGGGGAAATCGTTTCACCGGCTGATCGCGATATCGCAAATAAATCCCGCGGCGCGAAACGCGGGCGGGGCCGAAGTGTCGAAATCAGTCTTCCGCGCGAGCAAACGTCAACGGAATGTGATCAAAATGCCACGCCATGAAATAGGCGTCGAGATGCGCGGCTGATAAACCGCCGGAAGACAGATGCGTAATTAGTGCTACGAACTGAGAACGAATACGGATCTATCCGATCCCTCCGAGCGTTATTCTCACCCTCCTTTTGACCAGCAGATAACACATATCCACGCGCTCGCGGGCGCTGGATACAGGCTTTGATAACGGTTCTCACGCACGTGATATGAGGATACACGATTTACAGTTTAGTTTCGGTGCACCGTCGGCGTCCAGCGGCGCGACAGCGGCGGATTAGCAGCTTTGAAATAGTCGAGCTCGTAGCGGCGGATACGAGTGACGTTTCTACGTGCGTGTAATTCAGAGCACGAGATGCGCATGTACATCAAATGTTAAAGTTCCTACCAAAGGCGTTTAATTGAAATAATGTAACGTATACCTCGTCCCTAAGAAATGGGACTAAAATAATCTTGTTTATCTCGGATTATGATGTTATATAAATGTGAGATTTAGACTTGGTCTTTGTTTATGACAATTTAATCACTAAGGTTGGTGGAAAAAGAACCTTCCTACGTTCTATTCTATAGAACTCGTTTAAATAATATCGGTTTTTATTCCTGCTTTAGATCAAAATTAGTCTAATAGTAAAAGAGGTACAAATCAAGTTTTCATTGTCAAATTATATCTAATTTAAGTTATTTTTAATTATTTCTATAAGTCGCCACTTTTCTTGCTCAATATGTTGTTAATTAAACTAAAACAATGGAGTTAAACAATTTAACTCGAAGGACGTATTAAATTTGAGTCTTTAGTTTCTTATTGACTAAACATACGTTAATATGAACATTCTTTACTTTGGAATTACTCAATTTAGTCACAGATTGATTTTGGCACAATGGAAATTAAAAATACTAAAATGGTATTTAATTCAAGAGATTAGGTTATTGCTCTTTTGATATCTAATAGTGTATGAAGATTTTCCTTCAGAAAAGCACATTAATGCGACTCAACAGAAAATAATAATAAACTTTTAAATAATAGCTGAAAATATAATTTCAATACTCTGTAAGTATAATAAGAAAGAACTCACGTTCGACTTTTATACAGTTGCTTATTTGTCTACTTTACATAAGTTTGATATATGTTTTTATAAAATCTACAAAAGAAGACAATTGTAAATCCTAAGTAACAAAAATGCATCACAGAAATCATTTAGAGTCTACTTTCGAAAAAAAAGATTAGAATTTGGTAGCTTTATACATTAAGTAAATGGCAATGGAA